TTTGAGCGACTTTGACAAGGGCCACATTGTGATGGCTAGACGACTGGGTCAGAGCATCTCCAAACCTGCAGCTCTGTGGTGTTGTGCTGCGCATATTTGACCCACATTTTGCCCCAGCCAGAAAGGCGGGAAGTAGCCTGAGAGAGATTGGCTTGTATTTTGCCATGTCCGCCTGAAAGAGCTGAACCACCCAGACGGGAACATTGATGTTCAAGAGATCCTTAAAGCTGATTTTTTTGTAAATGAGGAGACATAAATGAAATATGGCAGAACTCATTATTATTTCATGCAACTTAAACCTGGTAAACATCCATGATGGGGCACTTGCTTTTTTCCATAGTCCTATTAAAGATACAACATTTTCCACCTGAGCCAATCGTAAAAACTTCTCTCTTATTTCTCTCTAATATTTTGAGATATTTTTCAGTGTTCCCTAAGTTTTTTTTGGATGCTCGACTAGGGCTGCATGATATGGTAAAAACATCATATTGCAGTTATTTTGACAGATATTGTGATATGATTCAAGCTTATTGTGGAAATTATAAATAAAATAATTATTTTTGGGGTGTCTGTAGTAAATGTTACCTTAAATGTGGAGAACAGGATCTGTAGGCCAAGGAATCTCTGCAGAACTACAGTACCTCATTATAATGCTGTTTATCACATATTATCAAAGAAAATCGCAGGTTCTGCTGTTTGCATACTGCACTTGGCCATATTGCAATTTTGATAATACTGTGATTAATTTAGCAGCCCTAGTCTCAGCATGATTTACCTATATGGGTTAACTTTGGTAAGACTAACCTGGTTTGATCTGTTTTAATCAGTGCTGCTTATTTTCTTCTCTAAAGATCGCTCATTTCATTGGTTCATTTAGCCAACAATGTTGTGCCTCCTGATTGTATTTACCTGCTTGTTTTAAGCAAAAAATCAGGGTTCACTTACTTTTGCCGAGCCATTTTTACAAAATAATTTTTTCAGTCTTTTCACTACAAAAAGATTGAATAATTGATTTTCTCAAAAAAAAAAGAATATGGGATTGATAAACATGCACTTGTTATTTCATTTTCTGGTTCTAATTAAATAAAAAAATAATGGGAAAACGGTGATCAGGAGGTTCACGTTTTTAAGCAGCAGGTAATAATTGACGATAATTAAATGCACAGGGTTGTCCGATCCTTTTTCAGTACACAAGTTAGATAAAGGAATCTTTTTATTGTCATATGAGAAGGTATTTGGTCTCCTGGTGTTTTGAATGAATTCTATTAAATGAAACCTGTCTCTGCTGACGCTGTTGACCTTCTTCTGGTCTTGTTTCCTCTTGCTTCCACTAACTGCCCCTCTTCAGACCCTGCTGCTCCCACACTCATGAGTCCACCTACCAGCTTCCCTATGCTACAATGCTTCGCCATATCTCCGCCCTCTGACTTAATCCTGCGACCACTCCTCCTGTCACCCACCACCTCTGCTGCACCGTCCGACCTAACCCATGTCCCTGCTCCCTGGGTCTCCTTGACCACTCTGTGGCCTCTTTGCCTACCGAGAGTTAAAGTCCCGGCGGTGTTTCCCCCATGCAGGATGTGCTTAGTGTGTATAGGCGTCCCGTTGAGCAGAATCATGCCCTGCAGGTTGGTGACAGGAGCTTCAGCCAGCAGCACATTGCTCTGAAGCTGTGGCTGGACTACATAGTGCATCGGCTGGAGCACAGGGGTGGTGGTGTAGTAGACAGGCTGCTGCTGCTGTAGTACAAGCATTTGTCCAGGAGAGGGCTGCATGGCTGTGGTAACAGGACTAACATGAGATGAAAGAGCCTTGTTACTGGTGCTGTCTGCAGACTGCACATGCATGCTGCTGCAAGCTGCTCCATTAAATCCATTAATGACTCTGGTGGATGACTGGCTGATGCTGACATTCTGGTTTGGCTCTGGGCTTGTGCCATGGATGCCTGGTGGTTTAGTCTCCAACGAGAGCCTTGCAATGTGGTCATCCACCTCTGGAGTGACCATACTTTGACAAACACTCAGAGGTGTTCGAGGTCTTGGCGGCGAACAGATCTCAGCCAGGGTCTTGAACTTTGGCCCAAGGTCCTCGAGGAACTGCAGGTCGTTGTCAGACTCCAGGAGGCTGCAGCAGCCCACTGAGCCAGCAGAGGAGCCCTGACCCTCAAAGTCATACTCCAACAGATTGTCCCTTGCTGGCTGCCTCGCTGCTGCACAGCTCGCCTTCTGTACATCAACATTAATACAAAGAAAAAATGAAAGGCATGTTACTGCCATTGTCTCTGCCAAGTCCTCCTATAAAAATTCACTAATGATTACATCCAGCACACCGTTAACAATCTGCACAATGGAACTCTAATTACCAGCACCAATGTGCTCAAGGCAACATTTACACAGTTTGAAATAATATGTTTGAGAGCTGCCTGTGATATAGCTTGATACAAAGCCTCATACACAAACAGTGCCAAAACACAGTACTCTAACAAATTAAAAACTGCCTCAGACCCAGGACCAGCTGTCTTAGAAACCGTTAACACACACATTTGAACCAAATACAGTAACTGCATTCACTAAAAAAGTTCTAACTCATCACTTTAAAAAAAGACCTAGACCTGGTCTCACCTGTGAGTAGAACTGATGCAGAAACACATCAGAGAGGGCGATGCCATCCATGTCTTTATACTGTAACAGCTGTTCCTCCATTGAGAACGCCTCTTTGCAGATCCCCCTGGAATTTCTAAAGCTGCTCTGTTGCATCCTGTCCTCGGCCACACACTGGGAATTGTGTTGCCAGCTGTTGTTGGCAGTGCCCATGTTCAGACTCATTAAGGAAGTGTCCACTTTGGTCATGGAAGCTACGTTGTTGGCCTGTACGGCAGATGTGGTGGCACGTGTCATCTGGACAGGAGAGCTGAGCAGAGGGACACTCTGAGGGAAACATAGACAGGCGTTGACGAGAGACATTTTCAAACAGACATTTTAGGCTGCACATTTTGCCGAGTGAAATTGACCAGTAAACAATAATACGATTTTGCCTCGAACCACACTACTGAATCATATTACATGTTATTTTTATTGCTGGAGATCTTTAGGAGTGTATAGGACTGCTGCAATATTATCACATTTCTACGGAGCCCCTAAAGGGACATGGGGAAAAAAATAAATAATGAAACGTTTCTTGTGAGCATGAGATACTTTCTGGAGAGCACGAGGAAGTGTCTCGTGCTCACGAGATACCTTAGGTTAAAGGACAATTCCACTATAACACCATAATAACACTTATTTACTGAGTTGGTCTGTTC